AAAATTTCAAATTTCAATTTCAAATTTCAAAATTTCAAATTTCAAGGGTTTTCACTAAGATGTTTGGAAATGATGGCTTTGTTTTCCAGGGAAGGAGTTTGACGTGAGGGCCAAATGTGTGATCAACGCCACCGGACCCTTCACCGACTCTCTGAGGCAGATGGACAAGCAGGAGACTGCCAAGATCTGCCAGCCAAGTGCAGGTGTCCACATCGTCATGCCGGGATACTACAGGTACCATGGAAACGCAACTCAACGCCTGGTGTAAAAACTAAGGTTTTGATGCTGTTTCATATTCATTAACCTGTTCATTGTTTGTTCCTCTGTGTTTTCCCATTCCCCTTCTGCAAATAGTGAGCTAGCTAAACTATAATCTGACCTTCACTTACAGGTGTAGGACAATCTTCTCAGGTTGAGAAGCAGCTCAGCAATAGAGTGGTTTTGTTGAAGTGGGAGGCTTTAAAGTTCAGCTCAGCTTATTGAGCAAAACCCGAGGGAGTGCGAGCCCTTTGAACACAAATGCCAACCACCTAATTTTCTTCTTCATCTTTGGCGCTCACCTCACTCTGCCCCCTCATATACGTTCCTTCCTCCTTCCCTCATCCTTTATGCTACATTGTCTTCTCTTTCACAAGCTCTAGCTTTAAAAACTATTCAAACCTTCTTCCATTCAGCCCCGACAGTATGGGCCTTTTGGATCCGGCTACGAGCGACGGCCGCGTCATCTTCTTCCTGCCCTGGGAGAAAATGACCATCGCTGGGACCACCGACACCCCCACCGATGTGACAGCCCACCCCATACCGAGGGAGGATGACATTGACTTCATCCTGAGGGAGGTGCGCAACTACCTCAGCCCAGATGTGGAAGGTACCGGACTCAGCTCATGTTTCTGATGCCTCCTTGGTTGTCCACTGAATAAAAACGCAGCTGCGCTTTGTGTTCAGTGCGGAGAGGAGATGTGCTCGCGGCTTGGAGTGGCATCCGCCCACTGGTGACTGATCCCAACTCCAAAGACACCCAGTCCATCTGCAGGAACCACGTTGTCAGCATCAGTGACACCGGACTGATCACCATCGCAGGTCAGCTCGGCCCACCACGCAGCTTCTAAACCCTTCAAGACACAATCAGTTGCTCTGATGCAGCATTCTGTGTGTACAGGTGGGAAGTGGACAACCTACCGCGCTATGGCCCAGGAGACAATAGATGCAGCAGTAAAATTCCTCCACCTCCCAGCCAGACCATGCAGGACGGTGGGACTGATGCTGGAGGGGGCGAAGGGCTGGACACCAACTCTCTACATCCGACTGGTACAGGACTACGGCCTGGAGGAGGAGGTACATCTCCTTTTCATTTAATGATTTGGCAAACATTCGAAGAGTTGACTTTAATGTCAGAATTCAGAGAAAAAAAGCAACTAGCACCTGGTGGAACTGCGCCTATCGTAGGAACTACTCAGTACAATGCTCTTAAAAACGTTAAAGGGTTATTGGAGAAACATTATGAAGTTGAAGGCGGAGCTTCAGAAAGAGCACAAGCTTCTTAAAGAGACAGAGGCCCAATTTCAAGCCTTTAAATTGCAAAGTCAAACTGAGATTGCTCTGATTGTTTTCCAGGGGTAAAATCCCCACCGCTCCTAAAGATGCTCATTAGAAAACAGTCATGCCAAGAGTTTGAGTGAGACTGAAGACATTTTTCCAGCAGCAGTCCTGGAGCTGACATTAAAGCTTCTTTTGACATTTGTTCTACATGCAGAAATGCAATGAAAGATGCCCAATTCATCAATACCTTCATATAAGGATACATTGATTGGAGTCACATCTGCAATAATTAGCCAGTTGTTTTGATTAAAGGCATCAGACCATAGTTTCATGAAGAAAAAGAGCCTGCAGTAAATTTCCCCCTCATTAGAAGCTCCTGTAGCAGCTGCTGTGTTCTCAGGAAAATTCCTAAAGGTCACCAGATATTTGGACAGGGTTTGACCTTTCACATGATCGGCAAGTCAGCCATCTCAGTAGCAAATAGGCCCCTGTGTTCTGTAAATATACGACACCTCACTGATAAAGCGGCGCCGTCATTTATTGTTCATTTGCAAAGATGTGAAATTGATCAGCTGAATACGGCAAACTATAAAATGCATTAGTTTGGCGTTAGCATTAGTAGCAGGAGGATCCCACCTTTGACGAATTTATAAAAGATGAACTTTGAATTAGAGTGCTGCCAGAAAGAATTCGCTCATTGAAACATGCCACTTCAGCCAAAATCCAAACTTACTGCCAATTGATCATCTTACAAAAAACTAATCTACCGATGTTGCCAATAAAATGGATTAAGCTTGTTAAGGTTTCATTTTGTTATAAAGGGATATTTTGTATGTTTTTAAAGAAAATTTCCAAGTGCTTTAAGAAAAAGTTGGAATTTTTGGAACTGGAAGCTTTCCAGTAGAGCTGTACGTAAGCATTATGCATACAAGAACAACAATGTAGCGTTAGCATATTCAAAAATATCCTGATCTTAAGAGGTTTAGACAACTCCTTCTGCATAATCATAAAAATCAACATAAAAAGGGATGTTGTTATTTGTTCAATTATCAAAAGGATTGTTTATGTAGAAAGTGAAGAGCAGGGGTCTTAACACAGAGCCCAGAGGAACTCTTTTATGTAGAGTTCCTATAGAATGAGCAAAAGCAACCAGTGTAATAGACATTATGTTTGAGATTATCAATAATTTTAAAACAAACTTACAGATCTTGCAAATTTCTTGAGTTTGTAACTTATAGGCTTTTCAAGAACTTTGAAGAAAGTTCTTGAAAAGCCTTAAATAAAGGATTTGCCTTTATTTAATAACATATAGGCGATCTTGTAAGGGAGACCAAATAGTATATTAAATATAAAAACATATTATATGGATTCTACATTAAATTCTGGAGCTAGCTTAATTAAATGCATATCAGGGTGTGATAAATGATGAATTTCTGTGTATAATTCTAATTATTTGCCACAGGTTGCTCAACATTTGGCTACAGCATATGGTGGCAAAGCATTTGATGTTGCCAAAATGGCCAAGGTTACCGGCCAAAGGTGGCCGATTGTTGGGAAACGTCTGGTGTCTGAATTTCCCTACATCGAAGCAGAGGTAAAACCGTCGCTCAGACTGGGATCCTTCCGGTTCCACATCCTGGGAATGTCTGAGACCTTGTCGTCCTTTCCCAGGTCCTGTACGCCATCAAGGAGTACGCCTGCACCGCCATCGACGTCATGGCGCGACGGACACGGCTTGGCTTCCTGAATGTGCAGGCAGCAGACGAAGCTCTCCCGAGGATTGTCCAAATCATGGGTAAAGAGCTTAACTGGAGTCAGGAGAAGAGGACGGTATGGGCCATGCGACGGAGAGGTGCTGTCCCTTTTGAACGATTGATTTCATTTAGACTGAAGGAAGTTCTTTCTCTGATGTGAAAATCCAGGAGGAACTTGAAGCAGCAAAAATGTTTCTGTACCACGAGATGGGCTACAGATCTCGATCGGAGCGGCTCACAAAGTCATCCGAGATCCACCTGGACTACCAGGACGTGATGAGGTAACCGCTGTCGTCCATTTTCTTTCATTTTCTAAAGCCCGATTGTTTTTATGTGCTTTCATAAATCAAGAGCTGTTTCACAGGTATAAGAACCGCTTCCACAAGTTTGACAAAGAGTCCAAAGGCTTCATCACCACCGTCGATGTCCAGCGAGTGTTAGAGGTGAGTTTCCCCTCAGTCTTTTTTTTTTTTTTTTGTCCTCTCTTTCTCATGACATGCCATTGATCAATCTGTTTTCCTCTGGTCTGTAGAGCATCAACGTCCACATTGACGAGAACGCGCTCCATGAAATCCTTAACGAGGTGGACCTCAATAAGAACGGACAAGTTGAATTCAACGAGTTCCTGAGGGTATTGTATCACTCAGATTCTGGTTGTCAACCTTTTAGAAACAAGATCCAAACCGTTAAACTGGGCTGTAGCTCAGACGCCTGCAGGTGGAGGAGGCAAATTAAAATAAACCCGAGATAATTAATAGATAAGGAATTGTTTTAATTAAGCTGTTCTCCTGATTTTTTAAAATAGTGGCTTCTGTGATTAAAGGTTTGTACAAAGCCTCAAAGTAAAAATATCTTCTGTTACAGCAACATAATCTCACGCAGAACAATTTAGAACAATCCGACCTTTGATTTATTTATCACTATGGACTAAGGGTCTCGTATGTTTTGGATTAGTGTCCAGTTTTTAGTTTAATGTTCACCCAACCTTTATGAAAATGTCAAAATGAGTTTATGAGCCAATGTGCAATTATTAACACAAAACTGTACTTAAAATCTCAGCGAAACAGTCCCTCAGCATCACCCATCCTCCACCGTGTTTCTAGTTTTACATTTCCCCATGTTGGCAAATTATGATTTCCAAATAGTCTGGATCATGATTCAACTGAGAGTCCCACTGATAACTCATTTTTAACTTTCTGACTGTCGACACTCTATTTATTTATTTATTTATTTTTAATCTCGATACTTCATCTTGTTGTGGGCAGAGAAACAGGCCCACAGCATCACAGATCCACCGATGTACTTTAAAAGTAGGCATGAAGTGGACTTCCGGAAGCAAATGGAGTAGACGGGTGCGTTAGAGCCTCTCTCCCACCTTAATTTCAAAATATTCCGTTCAAAACTCGTTAATCCGCTCACGGTTTCGATAAAATAATTTATGAACGGGAGGGGAAACATGTCGAGCCATAAAAAATCGACAAAAATGCCTAAAGCTCAGGATAAAAGTGCCCTAGTAGCTAAGGCTAACACGTGCCTGAAACAAGCTAACGACAACGTGGCTAGCTCGGACGCTGAGAGCACTGGAACGAACATGGACTCGGAAGGAATTCTTAAGGCTATCGACGATTTGAAGTCTGCCTTAAAGGGAGATAATGCAAAGCTACAACAAAATATTGACCATCTGGGACATGAGATCAACGGCAAGCTGGACAATATCGCCACTGAAGTACAGGGCCTGGCAGAGCGGGTTGATGAGGCGGAGGCCCGCGTTCATCAAGTGGAGACCTGGGCAAAGGAGGCAACGGAGGCGCTGTGCTTCTGCATCGAACAACAGAGGAAAACACAACTTAAAGTGCTTGATTTAGAGTCCCGTTCCAGAAGAAACAACGTCCGTGTATTTGGGGTGCCAGAAGGTCAGGAGGGGAACTCCACTACACAGTATATCGAAACGCTTTTGAGAAGCCAGCTACAACTACCGGAGGACCTGGACTTGAAAATACAGCGCGCACATCGCACTCTGACAAGTAAACCCCCACCCGAATCACCACCGAGGGCTATTATTGTCAACTTTCTGGAATTTTCCACAAAGGAAAAGATCTTAAGAGAAGTGTGGAAAAAAGGCAAGATCCAGGTGGGCTCTTCAATTATTCACTTCGACCACGATTATGCTCCCGAGATAGTGAAAAAGCGCAGAGAATATAACGCTATCAAGAAAGCGCTCAAAGTGAAAGGCATCCGCTTTCAAACACCGTTTACCAACATAAGGATCCACTGGGATTCAGGAACTCGCACATATTCCAGCGCTCGGGAAGCCTACAACGAGCTGAAGAGACGCGGAATCCAGGTGGAGGAACCGGCGACAGCTGATGGTGTTTCCAGAGCGGAGTGGAGGCTCCGGGAGCTGCTGGGCTGGCAGCCGGTGGATAACAGCGGCGCTGCGGTGGCGCTGAGAGCCAAGAACAAACTACAGGATTTCCAGCGGAGCATGATCGAGTGAAAATAGGCAGAATAACATGACATAATGCAGCATTATTTTGACTAGGCTCTGATTTACTACTTCGTGGGAGAGGACACTATTTATTTTTTTTCTACGTTGGACTAATAGGATGGACGTGTTTTTTCCTAAAGGCGCTTCTACTGTCCTTTTTGGGCCCTCTCAGTTTGAGAGGTTTAACCCTCGACTTGCCAACGGGGTCATGAGCGAGAAGAAGGAGCTTCTCCTCACCTTGGAAGTCAGTTTGTTACTGTTCTGTTTTGTTACTGTTCGTGTTTTGGATTCAGGGGCCAAATCAGTCAAGGTATTTATGTACATTACTGTCATATAATTTAAAAATTGCTTCCTTGAACGTAAACGGTTTGAATAGTCCAGTGAAAAGAAAAAGGGTCTTAGCCAAATTGAAGAAAGATGGGATACAAATTGCTCTTTTACAAGAGACACATATGTCTAAACAAGAACATGA